CTCTACTGAGCAGTCATGGGACTATCTCCATTGATTCTCTGTCATCAGTGACACTGTTTGTGATATTACTCTGCTGACTAGTACTAGAACACCCAGAGTAATTCTCTGTCACCACTGATGCTGTTTTATTCAGGGTGGTACTCTACTGAGCAGTCATGGGACTATCTCCACTGATTCTCTGTCATCAGTGACACTGTTTGTGATATTACTCTGCTAAGTGTGCTAGAACACCCAGAATAATTCTCTGTCACCACTGATGCTGTTTTATTCAGGATGATACTGTCCTGAGCATTCGTGGGACTACCACCATCAACTCTGTCATTAGTGGTACTATTTTATTCATGATAATACTCTACTGAGCAGTACTGGAGTATCACCACTCTCTGTCCTCAGTGATACTGTTTTATTCATGATGATACTCTACGGAGTAGTGCTAGAGTATCAACAGTGATTCTCTCTCATCAGTGACACTGTTTTATTCATAACATTCTACTGAGCTAGGACTATCACCATGACACTCTGTTATCAGTTGTAGGATAACTTTGGTCTGTCCTTTCTGCCTTCCGGAGTTCTTCAACCAGTGATGCTGTTTTAATTCATGAAAATAACCTATTGAGAGATACTGGAGTATGAACAGTAATTCTCTGTCATCAGTGATACCAATTGGGTATCAACAGTGAGTCGCTGCCATCAGTGATACTGTTTATTCATGATAATACTCTATCGAGTAGTACCGGAGTATCAACATTAATTTTGTTCTCAGTGATGCTGTTTTCTTCACAATACTCTATTGAGTCATAATGGAGTACCACCACTAATTCTGTCATTGCTGATGCTATCGTATTCACAATTCGCCACGAAGCAGTACTGGAGTATGACCACAAATTCTCTGTCCTCAGTGATACTGTCTTATTCGTGATAATAATACTCTACTGAGCAATGCTGGAGTATCACCAGGAATTCTCTGTATTTAATACTGATGCTGTCTTATTCATGGTAATCTACTGAACAGTACTGGGGTATCACCAGGCATTCTCTGTCATTACGGATACTGTCTCCTTCGTGATAATACTCTTCTTATAGAGTAGTGATGGAGTATCACTACTAATTCTGTCATCAACGATACTGTCTTATTCATGGTAATAGTCTACTAGCGGTAATGGAGTTTCGCCAGGGATTCCCCATCATCAGTAACACTGTCTTCTCCGTGAAAAATGCCCCATGATAGACTAGTAATGGAGTATCGTCAGAAATTCTCTGTCATTACTGATACTGCCTTATTCACGATAATACTACAGCAAATAGTAATGAAGTACCGCCAGTAATCCTGTGTCACCAGTGATGCTGTCTTCTTCATAATACTCCACTGAGCAGTACTGGAGTATCACCAGGAACTATCTGTCATCAGTAACATGTCTTGTTCATCATGATACTCCATTATAGAGTAGTGACGCAGTATCGCCAATAATAATTCTCTGTCATCAGTGATACTGTGTTATTCAGGATAATACTCTACTGAGCAGTACTAGAGTATCACCAGGAACTGCCCATCATCAGTAACACTGACTTCTTCATGATAATCGTCTACTGTAGAGTAGTGACGCAATATTGCCAGTAATTCTCTGTCATCAGTGATACTGTGTTATTCAGGATAATACGCTACTGAGCAGCAGTACTAGAGCATCACCAGGAATTCTCTGTCAGTACTGGTACTGTCTTGCTCATGATAATACCTCACTAAGCAGTAATGACTCTGTCATTAGTGATACCGTGTTATTCATGATAATACTCTACTGAGCAGTACTGGAGTATCACCAGGAACTATCTGTCATCAGTAACACGTCTTGTTCATCATGATACTCCATTATAGGGTAGTGACGCAGTATCGCCAATAATAATTCTCTGTCATCAGTGATACTGTGTTATTCATTCATGATAATACTCCAGTAAGCAGTAACTCTACTGAGCAGCAGTACTGGAGTATCATCAGGAATTCTCTGTCATTACTGATACTGTCTTGTTCATGAAAATACTCCACTAAGCAGTAATGAAGTATCGCCAGTCAGTCTCTGTCATCAGTGATACTGTGTTATTCAGGATAAAACTCTACTTCTTCACGATGATACTTGATTATAAAGCAGTGACGCAGTATCACCGGTAATTCTCTATCATCGGTGATACTGTGTTATTCAGGATAATACTCTACTGAGCAGTACTAGAGTATCACCAGGAATTCTCTGTCATTACTGGTACTGTCTTATTCATGAAAATACTCCACTAAGCAGTAATGAAGTATCGCCAGTCAGTCTCTGTCATCAGTGATGCTGTGTTATTCAGGATAAAACTCTACTTCTTCACGATGATACTCGATTATAAAGCAGTGACGCAGCATCACCAGTAATTCTCTGTCATCGGTGATACTGTGTTATTCAGGATAAAACTCTACTTCTTCACGATGATACTCGATTATAAAGCAGTGACGCAGCATCACTGGTAATTCTCTGTCATCGGTGATACTGTGTTATTCAGGATAATACTCTACTGAGCAGTACTAGAGTATCACCAGGAATTCTCTGTCATTACTGGTACTGTCTTATTCATGAAAATACTCCACTAAGCAGTAATGAAGTATCGCCAGTCAGTCTCTGTCATCAGTGATGCTGTGTTATTCAGGATAAAACTCTACTTCTTCACGATGATACTCGATTATAAAGCAGTGACGCAGCATCACCGGTAATTCTCTGTCATCGGTGATACTGTGTTATTCAGGATAATACTCTACTGAGCAGTACTAGAGCATCACCAGGAATTCTCTGTCAGTACTGGTACTGTCTTGCTCATGAAAATACCTCACTGAGCAGTAATGAAGTATTGCCAGTCAGTCTCTGTCATCAGTGATGCTGTGTTATTCAGGATAATACTCTAGAGTATCATGAGCTGTACTAGAGTATCACCAGGAATTCTGTCATTACTGGTACTCTCTTGTTCATGAAAATACTCCACTAAGCAGTAATGAAGTATCGTCAGTCAGTCTCTGTCATCAGTGATACTGTGTTATTCAGGATAAAACTCTACTTTTTCACGATGATACTCGATTATAAAGCAGTGACGCAGCATCACCGGTAATTCTCTGTCATCGGTGATACTGTGTTATTCAGGATAATACTCTACTGAGCAGTACTACAGCATCACCAGGAATTCTCTGTCAGTACTGGTACTGTCTTGCTCATGATAATACCTCACTGAGCAGTAATGAAGTATTGCCAGTCAGTCTCTGTCATCAGTGATACTGTGTTATTCAGGATAGTACTCTACTGAGCAGCAGTACTAGAGTATCATCAGGAATTCTCTGTCATTACTGATACTGTCTTGTTCATGATAATACTCCACTAAGCAGTAATGACTCTGTCATTAGTGATACCGTGTTATTCATGATAATACTCTACTGAGCAGTACTGGAGTATCACCAGGAACTATCTGTCACCAGTAACATGTCTTGTTCATCATGATACTCCATTATAGAGTAGTGACGCAGTATCGCCAATAATAATTCTCTGTCATCAGTGATACTGTGTTATTCATTCATGATAATACTCCAGTAAGCAGTAATGAAGTATCGCCAGTCAGTCTCTGTCATCAGTGATGCTGTGTTATTCAGGATAATACTCCAGAGTATCATGAGCTGTACTAGAGTATCACCAGGAATTCTGTCATTACTGGTACTGTCTTATTCATGAAAATACTCCATTAAGCAGTAATGAAGTATCGCCAGTCAGTCTCTGTCATCAGTGATACTGTGTTATTCAGGATAAAACTCTACTTCTTCACGATGATACTCGATTATAAAGCAGTGACGCAGTATCACCGGTAATTCTCTGTCATCGGTGATACTGTGTTATTCAGGATAATACTCTACTGAGCAGTACTACAGCATCACCAGGAATTCTCTGTCAGTACTGGTACTGTCTTGCTCATGATAATACCTCAGTAAGCAGTAATGAAGTATCGCCAGTCAGTCTCTGTCATCAGTGATGCTGTGTTATTCAGGATAATACTCCAGAGTATCATGAGCTGTACTAGAGTATCACCAGGAATTCTGTCATTACTGGTACTGTCTTGTCCATGAAAATACTCCACTAAGCAGTAATGAAGTATCGCCAGTCAGTCTCTGTCATCAGTGATACTGTGTTATTCAGGATAAAACTCTACTTCTTCACGATGATACTCGATTATAAAGCAGTGATGCAGTATCACCGGTAATTCTCTGTCATCGGTGATACTGTGTTATTCAGGATAATACTCTACTGAGCAGTACTACAGCATCACCAGGAATTCTCTGTCAGTACTGGTACTGTCTTGCTCATGATAATACCTCAGTAAGCAGTAATGAAGTATCGCCAGTCAGTCTCTGTCATCAGTGATACTGTGTTATTCAGGATAAAACTCTACTTCTTCACGATGATACTCGATTATAAAGCAGTGACGCAGCATCACTAGTAATTCTCTGTCATCGGTGATACTGTGTTATTCAGGATAATACTCTCCTGAGCAGTACTACAGCATCACCAGGAATTCTCTGTCAGTACTGGTACTGTCTTGCTCATGATAATACCTCAGTAAGCAGTAATGAAGCATCGCCAGTCAGTCTCTGTCATCAGTGATGCTGTGTTACTCAGGCTAATACTCCCGTAAGCAGCAACAGAGCATCACCAGGAATTCCCGGCCAACAGTGCCCCTGTCTTCATGATAATACTCTACTGGGTAGCAGTGAAGTGCCCACACGGATTCTCTGTCATCTGTGACACTGTCACCACCCCCCCCCCCCCCGCCAAGAGTGCAGCGGTGTGCAGAGACGCGGGGTCCTGACACACACGGCCCCTCGTTTTCTCTGCACACAGCCCCCTTCTCTCTGCACACAGGGCTGTGTTTTGTGTCCTGTGCTCTGAGTCGCAGACGGGCGTGAGCTGGGGCACAGGGCTGAGGGGGGCGGGCAGCCTTGCCTGGTATAGGCGCTGGGCCACCTCCAGGGCCTTCTGCTTGGCCGTCTCCACCGCATAGGCGTAGGGCGTGGGGAAAGACGCCTTGTCCAGGGTCTCCTTGAAGCGTGACGGCACCACCTCGAACCGCAGGCCCTGTGTGTGCGAGAGAAAGGGAGAGAGAGACAGACAGACGGACAGAGACAGAGAAGACAGAGACAGAGAGTGAATGTGAGCGAGAGACACACAGAGAGAGACACAGAGAGAGACAGAGAGTGTGTGTGTGAGACAGGGAGAGACAGATAGACAGAGACAGAGAGACAGACAGAGACAGAGAGAGTGTGTGTGTGAGAGAGACACAGAGACAGACACAGAGAGAGACAGAGTGTGTGTGAGACAGAGAGACAGACAGAGACAGAGAGACAGAGAGACAGAGAGAGTGTGTGAGAGACAGAGAGAGACACAGAGACAGACATAGAGAGAGACAGAGAGACAGAGAGTGTGTGTGTGAGACAGAGAGAGAGACAGACAGAGACAGAGAGACAGACAGAGACAGAGAGAGTGTGTGTGAGAGACACAGAGACAGACACAGAGAGAGACAGAGAGTGTGTGAGACAGAGAGAGAGACAGACAGAGACAGAGAGACAGACAGAGACAGAGAGAATGTGTGTGAGAGACACCAGAGAGACAGACAGAGACAGAGAGAATGTGTGTGAGAGACACAGAGACAGAGAGTGTGTGTGAGATAGAGAGAGACAGAGACAGAGAGACAGACAGAGACAGAGAGACAGAGTGTGTGAGAGAGACAGAGAGACAGAGAGAGACACAGAGAGAGACAGAGAGAGACAGAGAGTGTGTGAGAGACAGAAAGACAGAGAGAGACACAAAGAGAGACAGAGAGTGTGTGTGTGTGAGACAGGGAGAGACAGACAGACAGAGACAGAGAGACAGACAGAGACAGAGACAGAGACAGAGAGTGTGTGTGAGATAGAGAGACAGACAGAGAGAGACAGAGAGACAGAGACAGAGAGACAGAGAGAGTGTGCGAGACAGAGAGAGACACAGAGACAGACACAGAGAGAGACAGAGAGACAGAGAGTGTGTGTGAGACAGAGAGACAGACAGAGACAGAGAGACAGAGAGACAGACAGAGACAGAGAGAGTGTGTGTGAGAGACACAGAGACAGACACAGAGAGAGACAGAGAGTGTGTGAGACAGAGAGAGAGACAGACAGAGACAGAGAGACAGACAGAGACAGAGAGACAGACAGAGACAGAGAGAATGTGTGTGAGAGACACAGAGAGAGACAGAGTGTGTGAGAGAGAGACAGAGAGAGACACAGAGAGACAGAGAGAGACAGAGAGACAGAGAGAGTGTGTGAGAGACAGAAAGACAGAGAGAGACACAAAGAGAGACAGAGAGAGACAGAGAGTGTGTGTGTGTGAGACAGAGAGAGAGAGAGAGAGAAAGAGGGAGGCGGGTGGTGAGGGTGTCGGGAGAGACACGTCTCGGGTCACATGCCCGGGGCCGGGCGTCCCCGCTGACACCCAGGGCAGCAGAGTCACTATCGATCCCACACACACAAGAGTGCAAAGTGCCGAGGACTGACCCCGGGGCTCCGGGCAGTGGACGAGGCAAAAACAGGCCAGGAGTGAGAGGTGTGGGCGCGACGGGGACCGCGGGAATGTGAGTCTCTATGTGTGTGCATGTGTGTGCGCGTCTGGGTGTATTTGTGTGTGTGTGTGTGTCTGTAGCTGTCAGTTTTCACGTATGAATCTCGGGCCACGGGTGTGTGTGTGTGTGAGTGCGTGGGGGGCGGTGTGTGAGTGTGTGTGTGTACGTGAGCACGTCTGCGTGGGTGTGCGGGACGGAAGGTGTTTGCACAGCTGTGCGTGTCCGTGCCTGTGTGTCTGTGAGCACGCCTTTGTGTCTGTGTGTTCGCCTCCGCGTGTCTCTGTGTCTATGAACGCCTGTGTGTATGTCCGCGTGTCGCTCCGTGTATGTGTGTGTGTGTGTGTCTGTCGCTGTGTACGTCTGCGCGTGTCTCTTTGTCTCTGTGTGTCCAGGTTTGTATGTTAGCACGAGTATATGTCTGTGTGTGTGGTGTGTGCCCCTGTGTGCGTCTGCACGTGTGCGCATGTCTGTGTGTACATTTATGTCTCTGTGTGTAATGTATCTACTTGGGCGACCGTATACACAGGCACACACGTGTGTCTCTGGATGTGTGACTCTCTGTGTGTGTGTTTGTGTATCTGTCTGTCCATACATGAACGCACGTGTCTCTCTGTGTATATATCTATGTCTCTGGATGTGCATATGTACACACACGCATATACACACGGGCTGGACTGGGTCTGTGTGTATCTGTGCATGTCTGTGTGTCTGTGTGTCCGTTTGTATTTCTGTCTCTGTGTTTATACGAATGTACATGTGTGTCTGTATCTGTGTGTGTATATATCTATGTCTCGGTGTGTGTACATGTAGACATGCATGCACACACACAAGCTGGATTGTGTCTCTGTGTATATATACATGTGTCTGTGTGATATATACACATGTATGTGTGTATATATACACAAGCATGTGTGTCTGCGTATGCCTGACTGTATCAATGTCTGCCTACATATCTGTCTGTGTTTATACAAATGTACATGTGTGTCTGTGTGTGTATCTCTGCGCATATATCTATGCCTCTGTGTGTATATGTAAACATGCATGTACACACACAGTCTGGCCTGTGTCTGTGTGTACATATACACATGTATGTGTGTACATATACACATGTATGTGTGTCTGTGTCTGTCTGACTGTATCAATGTCTGCTGATAAATCTGTCTGTGTGTATACAAATGTACCTGTGTGTCTCTGTGCGTCTGTCTCTGTGTGTCTATCTCTATGTCTCAGTGTGTGTATATATGCATATGTCCACACACGTTGGGCCGTGTCTGTGTATATATACACATGTGTGTGTGTCTGGGTATATCTGACTGTATGTACGTCTACTTATTTATCTGTCTGTGTTTCTACGAACGTACAAGTATCTACGTGTGTCTGCAGTTGTGTGTCTATTTCTATGTCTCTGTGTGTGTGTATATGTTTACATGCTTATACACACACAGGCTGAGCCGTGTGTGTGTGTGTTTGTGTGTGTATACAAATGTCTGTGTGTCGTGTATGTCCGACTGTGTGTCTGTCTGCTGATGTATCTGCCTGTGTTTATACGAACGTACATGTGTGTCTCTGTGTGTCTATATCTGGGTGTCTATATCTCTGTCTTGTGTGTATATGAAAACATGCATGTCTGGCCTGTGTCTGTGTGTATACATACACACATGCATGTGTGTCTGTATCTGTGTGACTGTATCAATATCGGCTTATAGATATCTCTCTGTTTATACAAATGTACAAGTATCTATGTGTATCTGTGTGCCTGTGTCTGTGTGTCTATTTCTATGTCCCCGTGTGTGCATATGTAAACACGCATACACATACACACGCCGGGCTGTGTCTCTGTATACACGTGTCTTCATGTGTGTACACGTATGTGCATGTGTGAGAACCAGACAAATGCCAACCCTGGTCCCCCTTAAGCCGGCAGCTGCCCCCAAACACAGACCCCCTCGTCTGTGACGGCTAGAGGCCACATCAGTGCCCACCCAGAGACCCCCTTGCGGGTCCTGCTCTCTGCCCCGCTGGAGGAAGCCCCTGGCCCTGCCCATGGCCAGCTCAGGACGTGGCCAGCTGCCTGGGTGACCTTGGCCGGGCGACCTCACCCTGGCCAGGGGGTCACCAGCCGCCCTGGCCTTGGCCGGTAGCCCCCAGCGTCCGGAGAGACACGAGGTCCCGTCCCCAGACCCTGGTGGGCCCCAGCCTGCCTGGCCAGAGCCGTCCCTCACAGTGACCCCACTCCGAGGCCCTGACCGCAGTCCTGGCCCCTGACCCCAGAGGAGCCCTGGGCCAAGGGGTCCAGCCTGCAGACGCCAGGCTAAGCCGGACCCCCATCCCCAGACCCTGCTGGGCCCCTGCCTGGCCAGAGCCGCCCCTCACAGCGACCCTATTCCGGGGACCTGACCCCAGTCCTGGCCCCTGACCCCAGAGCCCTGGGTCAAGGGGTCAGCAACATGCGTCCAGCCTGCAAACCCGGGGGCTAAGCCAGCACCCAGCCCACCCCAGCATGGGTCAGGGGTCACCAGGCCCCAAGTCGCTGCCTCCCCCCACCCCTGATGCCCGCTGAACCGGGCAGGGGGTCGCCGGTGCATGCCCCAGAGACCCCAATGCTGTCTCGGGGACCCCCTACCTGCACCCGGGGTGCCCCCCAGGTGCGGCCTGGGGGTCCCTGTGAGCCCTGCAGCCCCCAGCCCAGGCTCTGGAGGGGTCAGCACTGCCCCCCTTCAGCGCAGCCCCCTCTGCAGGTGCAGGGCTTGGGGGTCCCCGTCCCGCCCTCCCCCCCGACCCCTCCTCCAGGAAGCTCACCGCGTTGTTGAGGATCTCCTGGCGGCGCGGGGAGGCGCTGGCCAGCACCACCCGCTTATGCAGCAGCTTCCCGAGCACCGGGCACAGCACCATGGCGCCCACCCCCAGCTCTGGGCACTGCCCAGCCGCTGAGCCCCGGCCAGAGCCCAGCAGCCGGGCCAGCCCAGCTCCGCGCTGCAAAAGGGGAGCTCGGGCCCCGCCCACCGGCGCTCCCGCCAATCGCCGCGCAGCAATGGCCGCCCGCCGGGGGGCCGCCCACCAATGGCCGCCGGGCTATGGCGGCTCTGTCCCGCCCTCCCCAGGTCCGTATTGGCCCAGCCACGCTCGAGGCCCCGCCCACTGAAGAGAGTAGACCAATCGGAGATCACCGCCTCCCGACGAGGTCCCGCCCTCCGGCTGTCCCTATAGGTCCGACTGCGCGCGACGTCCCGCCCACACGGGGGTTTCGCCCATTGGGCCACGGCTCATACAAAGTCCCGCCTCCCGACTGTCTCTATAGGTCCGGCTGCGCGCGACGTCCCGCCTACGCTGGGGTTCGGCCCAATGAGCCGCGGCTCACTCGGGCTTCGCCCCGCCCCGATGAGGTCCCGCCTTCCGGCTGTTCCTATAGGTCCGGCTTCTCGAGACGCCCCGCCTACACGAGAGTTTCGCCCAATGAGAAGCGTCCCACTTGGGTTTCGCCCCGCCCCCTACGAGATCCCGCCCTCCCGGCTGTTCCTATAGGTCCGGTTGCGCGCGACGTCCCGCCTACACGGGAGTTTCGTCCAATGAGACGCGTCTCACTTGAATTTCGCCCTGCCCCGACGAGCTCCCGCCCCCGACTTGTTTCTATAGGTCCGGCTGCTCACGACGTCCCGCCCACATGGGAGTTTCACCCAATGAACCACGGCTCACTCGGGCTCCGCCCCGCCCCGACGAGCTCCCGCCCTCCCGCTGTTCCTATAGGTCTGTCTGCTCGCGATGTTCCGCCCATTTGGGAGTTTCATCCAATGAGACGCGTCTCACTCGGGCTCCGCCGCGTTCCGCCGAGGTCCCGCCCCCGGCTGTTCCCATAGGCCCGCTGCGCGCGGCGCCCCGCCCCAATGACTCACGGCCCACTCAGAATCGGCCCCGTGCCGGCGAGGCCCCGCCCCCGAGTTAAGCCACGCCCCCGAGCTAGGATTTGGTCCAGGAGTTAATTCTAAGAGAGGGAATTTGGGGGTCCTGGCTGGGTCGCTGAGCCGGGACAGGCGGACCCCAAGGGTCCTGGCGGACTGCGTGGAGGGTGGGGAAGCGGGTGTGCGGTTCCCCAGTGCCCAGCAGCGGTGGGGGGACGCCAAAATGCCCCCTAAAAGTGGTCAGGGGCAGAGAGGAAGGATGCTGAGGTTGAATGTTGGGTACCAGATTATATTCTAAATATAAATATATTGATATATATTGATATATATTGATATGTAAAATATATAGAATATATTATAAATATTTAGAATATAATATAAATTATTATCTCTATAATATTTATAGAGATAATAATATTGATGTGGATATAATAGTATATATATATTTACCTATATATAAATATGTAGAATATATTTATAGATATTTAGAATATAATATAAATTATTGTCTCTATAATAATTTATAGATATAATAATATTATATGGATGTAATAGTATATATATATTTACCTATATATAAATATGTAGAATATATTTATAGAATATAATATAAATTATTGTCTCTATAATAATTTATAGAGATAATAATATTATATGGATATAATAGTATATATATTTACCTATATAGAATATATTTATAGATACTTAGAATATAATATAAATTATTATCTCTACGAATTATTAAATGAGTATCTATAGATTCTTCTCGATAAATGATCTGTGCATGCACAGATCAGTGTGCGAGGTCTATGTAATTATGGGTAATATTAGATCGATAGATGGGTGTATGAATGGAAGAGTCGATTAGAGATCTAATTATGGGTAATTAGATCGATAGGTGGGTGTATGAATGGAAGAGTCGATTAGAGATCTATTTATATAGAATTATATATAGGTATATGAATTATTGGTATATATATAGTATAGGCGTATGGATCGATGGGTGTGTGGGATATATGGATGCATTGGTAGATTAGAGATCTATTGAATTATAGGTAAGAGATCTATAGACAGATGAGTGTGCGGGTGTTTGAATGGATTGATGAATTAGAGATGGATGAATTATAGGTATATTGGATCGATGGGTGGGTGGGCGTCGGGATGGATGGGTTACAGGGATCAATGGGTGGAGTGATGGGTGTGAGGTGGATGGATGGATGGATGGGTGGGTGGGTGGGTGGATGGATGGATGGATGGATGGATGGATGGGTGGGTGGATGGATGGATGGAGAGACAGATGGGTGTCTGGATGTTCGAGCCGATGGATGATAGGGATCAATAAATGGATAGACAAACGGGAGTGTGGGTGTCTCTGTGTGTGTGTGTGTGTGTGTGTGTACGTATTGATTATACAGATCTGTAGATGCACAGGTAGGTGGGCGCGTGGGTGAGTATCTACAAATGGAAAATAGAGATCAATACGTAGATGGAGGGGTGTGTAGAGACAGACGGACGGACGGATGGACGGACTCTAGGTCTGCAGTTGCTGATATCCTGTAAGGTATCCGGTCAGGCAGGACCAGACCGCTGATCAATACCCGAGAGGGAGGTCGGTCTCGTCCCGGCATCTCGGACTTTCAGCCACTAGGTGGCAGACGCGGTCCGTGGACCGGACACCAGGCCACCCCGACCTCACCCTGGGCCTGAAGTCCTGGACTCTCGGAGACAGGCTGACTCCCGGCTCTGTGCTCAGGGCTGACTCCCGGCTCTGTGCTCAGGGCTGACTCCCAGCTCTGTGCTCAGAGCTCTCTCTCCTGGCTCTGTGTCAGGGCTCACTCCCGGCTCACTGCTCAGGGCTCAGTCCTGACTTTGTGCTCAGAGCTCACTCCCAACTCTGTGCTCAGAGCTGACTCTGGCTCTGTGATCAAGGCTGACTCCCATCTCTGAGCTCAGGGCTGACTCCTGGCTCAGTGCTCAGGGCTGAGTCCTGGCTCTGTGCTCAGGTTCACTCCAGATCTGTGCTCTGGGCTCACCCTGGCTCTGTGCTCAGGGCTGAGTCCTGGCTCACTGCTCAGGGCTGACTCCCAGCTAAGTGCTCAGGGCTGACTCCCAGCTCTGTGCTCAGGGCTGACTCCCAACTCTGTGCTCAGGCTCTCTCTCCTGGCTCTGTGTCAGGGCTCACTCCCGGCTCACTGCTCAAGGCTCAATGCCAGCTCAGTGCTTAGGGCTGACTCCCGGTTCTGTGCTCAGGACTGACTCCCAGCTTTGTACTTGGGGCTGACTCCCGGCTCTGTGCTTGGAGCTGACTCCTGGCTCTGTGCTCAGGGCTGACTCCAGCTCTGTGCTCAGGGCTGAGTCCTGGCTCTGTGCTCGCAGCTAAATCCCAGCTCAGTGCTCAAGGCTGATTCCCAGCTCTGAGCTCAGAGCTCACTCCCAGCTCTGTGCTCAGGGTTGACTCCCAGCTCTGTGCTCAGGGCTGACTCCAGCTCTGTGCTCAGGGCTGACTCCTGGCTCTGAGCTCGGGGCTGACTCCTGGCTCTGTGCTCAGGGCTGACTCCCGGCTCTGTGCTCAGAGCTCTCTCTCCTGGCTCTGTGCTCAGGACTCACTCCCGGCTCAGTGCTCAAGGCTGACTCCTGGCTCTGTGCTCAGGGCTCACTCCTGGCAGGGACACCAGGGGACCATAGCACCTGGCTGGGCCCCGTGAGCCGCAAACGCCTTTACCCCTCACGCCGCGTGCCCGACCCTGGCATGACGCCTCCAAGCCGACCCCTGGGCGTGCCGGCATTCCTGCCTACAGAAACCTCGGCCGCGACCCTGTGTCCAGTGAGAATTTATTCCAAACAAAGGCCACAGGCCCTTTGCACGTTCCTCAGCCGCCCGGTTTCTCTCTCCCTCCGCGCTGCAAACCAAAGAGTCCCGGGGCTGATGTTGCAAAGGCCGGGTTGTGGGCAGCGTGTCCAGCAATGAGGTCGGCGTGCGTGTCCTCAAGGTCACAGCCGTCAGGAGCGGCCCCGTGGGAGACGGGAGGGACAGGGTCCAACCAAGAAGGGGTGGCAGAGACCGAGGCAGATTCCAGCCGCTTGGTTTCTGCATCTCTGATGAGGCAGCTGTTCCCGGCCACGACACAGAGCTTCTGGCCAAGTGGCCGTCATGGACACACCACTTGTGTCCAGTGACGCACGCTCGTGGCCGCTGGACGCCGATGGTCCCAGCCGTCAGCATCTCACGTCCCCCCTGGGGGCCGCTTGGAACACTCGGGGTGTGGGGGAGAGGGACGCTGAGTCCTGGGGTCAGCGGTCAGCTAAGGTCCAGGGACGTCCTCGTTTGTGGCTGACCACAGATGCTCTGACCATCCGGGGGGACGGTCTGGGTGGACAGAGTCCCTGGAGGGCTGGACGTGGTTCCGGGGGGTGGCCCCCAAGTGCTGCTATTTCTGCTTCACTCGGGAGGGAGGTGTTGTCCTGTGTCCATCGGTCAGTCGGGCGGTGCTTTGAGGCTGGGTGGGCCGGGTGAGGTCCTTCCGGCTCAGCCGGGCTCCGGGTGGACCGGCGGGTCACCACCAGGACATCGCGGCCTAAGGGCAGCTGTTTGCGTGACGGCTGCAGTCAGCCACTGCTTGACCTCCTGCCCGGTCCGGAGCACCCTACGGTGAGTCCTGGGTCTGTGCTGCCTCGCGAGTCAGGAATCCCTCCCGTGTCCCAGGGAGGGCCCGACTGCAGACGACAGAGTGACGACAGGCTTGAGTCTTTTTGCTGCGTCCACTACAGAGATGGCCGCGGCCAGTGTCCCATGAATCGCAGGATTTATTGCATTTCATTCATTCATTCATTCATTCATTCATACGATTCATCCATCTGCTCGCTGACATCAATGACCCATGTCTAATGTCTCCTGCATCGGCTGCGAGGCTGCAGGACCCCACCGGGACCCCCCAGACGAGCCGCCCGGTCATTCCGCAGCCTCTAAGCTATACCCTCACCTGGACCCGGTCACCTGCGCCCCAGCGTGCACCTGAGTCTGTCCAGGGTCCTGTGTGGGCAGAGCTCAACTTAATCACGGTGCCGGAAGGTTCTGCCGGGTGGGTCAGCAGGAACCGAGTGACCGTTTTGCAGCCGAGATGGGGTTGGCTTGGGGGACGGGTCACTTGGGCGGGGGGGGGACGCTGTCCTCCTGTCGGCATTTTCTGGCCTGAGCCCAGTGTCCTCATGGCCCCAACGGGGCTGCCACGGCACTGTGTTTTTTGCCGCGTTCTGCGTTTCCTTCTCAGTCTTGCTGGTGGGTGGACGGGGCCGGGGTGGACGCGGGGTAGCTTGTCCCCCCCGCGCTGGACCTGCCGGTATTGTCACGGGTGCAGAGTTGCTGCACAGCTGGCCAGGGGCAGACGGACAGTGGACGCGACGGTGGCCAGTCTGGGTCGTCAGAACGCGCTGTCCCTGCCCGTGGACACTGACCAGGTCCACCTCTGTGAGGGTCCCCAGCCAGTGGGTCCAGAGCCGGCCGAGACTGCCTGGACAGAGAGTGCCTGTCCACCCTCTAGGGCACCACCTCTTACTCTTCGGGGGTTTTTTTTTTCTCTTTGTTTTGGGTGAAGCCAGTGAGAGTCAGGGCTGGCTGACTCCCAGCTCTGTGCTCACGGGCCAACTCCTGCGGTGCTCGGGAATCACACCGGATGCCGGGATCGAACCCGTGTCGGCCGGTGCATGGCAAATGCCCTCCCCACTGGAGTATCTCTCCGGCCGCCTCCTCTCTCATATTTTTTAAATTTTTTTGGGGGGTCCCACCCGGCGATGCTCAGGGCTGACTCCAGGCTCTGGACTCGGGAATGACTCCTCCTGACGGTGCTCGGGGGACCCTAGGGGATGCTGGGGATCGAACCCGGGTCGGCCATGTGCCAGGCCAACGCCCTCCCTGCTGGGCTATCACTCCAGGTCTCTCTCTTCCTTCCTTCCTTCCTTCCTTCCTTCCTCTCCTCTCTCTTTCTCTTTCTCTCTTTCTTTCTTTCTTTCTTTCTATCTCTCTCTCTTTTCTTCTCTTTCCTTCTCTCTTTCTCTCTTTTTCTTTCCTTCTTTCCTGCCTTCCTTCCTTTCTTCCTTCCCTTCTTTCCTTCCTCTTTCTTTTCTTCCTTCCTTCCTTCCTTCCTCTCCTCTTTCTTTCTCTCTTTCTTTCCTTCTCTCTTTCTCTTTTTCCTTCCTTCCTTCCCTCCTCTTCCTTCCTTCCTTCCTTCCTTCCTTTCTTCCTTCCTTCCTTCCTTCCTTCCTTCTCTCTTTCTCTCTTCCTTCCTTCCCTCCTTTTTTCCTTCTTTCTTTCTTTCTTTTCTTTTTTCTTTCTTTCCTTCCTTCCTTCCTCTCCTTCTATCTCTCTTTCTTTCTTTCCTTCTCTCTTTTATCTTTCCTTCCTTCCTTATTTCCTTCCTCTCCTCTTTCTTTCTCTCTTTCCTTCTCTCTTTCTGTTTTTTCCTTCCTTCCCTCTCTTTTCTTTCTTCTTTTCCTTCCTTCATTCCTTCGTTCTCTCTTTCTCTTTCTTTCCTTCCTTCCCTCCTTTTTTCTTCTTTCTTTCTTTCTTTCTTTCCTTCCTTCCTTTCTTCCTTCCTCTCCTTCTGTCTTTCTTTCTTTCCTTCTCTCTTTCTCTTTTTCCTTCTTTCCTTCCTTCCTTCATTCCTTCCTTTTCTTCTCTCTCTTTCTTTCTTTCTTTCTTTCTGTCTGTCTGTCTGTCTTTCTTTTTCTTTCTCTCCCTCCTTCCTTCCTTCCTTCCTTCCTTCCTTCCTTCCTTCCTTCCCCTCCCTTCCTCCCTCCCTCCCTCCCTCCCTCCTTCCCTTCTTTATCTTTTTCTTTCTTTCCTTTCTTTTTGGGTCCCACCCGGCAATGCTCAGGGCTTCCTCCCAGCTCTGCACTCAGGAATCCCTCCTCCTGGCGGTGCTCGGGGACCCTAGGGGATGCCGGGACTCGAACCCGGGTCGGCTGGTGTGCCAGGCCCACGCCCTCCCCGCTGGGCTCTCGCTCCGGCCCCTCCGACGTCCTCCCGCCCCAAAGTGGCTGCCAGTGCTCCAGCCCTTACACACGCCCCATAGCTGCTTCCCCAGACTTGGCGGTGGCTGGCTGGTCACGGCAGCCGGGCGTGGCCCCTCAGAACTGACTCGGTTCCCTCCTGGTCACCTCCTGCCCCCCCCCGGGACTTGAGACTGACCGACCACATCCTCCGAGTCCCGGGTTAGACGCCGCCGTCCCCTCGCCTCAATTCCTTCCTTGGGGCGTGGAGGAGACGGGGGGCGCTCCCGTCCTCACGTCCACAAAGTGGCTGCCATTCCACCAGCCCGCTCAGCTCAGGGCGCGCCGTCCCGCTGCCCGTCCACGTTTTTTCCCCCCGTGGTGGCTGGACCCGGGGTCACGGCGGCCAGCCGGGCGGGGTCCCTCAGAAGACGCTTTCCTGCCTCTGCCAGTTGGGCCTCCTTCCTGCCGCCGTGGCCGCCGCGGTCTCCCGGGAGCTCCGCCCGTCGTCCTCCTCCTCCTCGCGGGCTGAGAGGGTGCGTGTGGCCGCCGTGGCCGCGGGGTCGGCCGTGCGGGTGTTCTCGGCGCTGTCCAGCCGGAGGCGGCCGTAGCCCAGGTAGCCACGCAGCCGGCGCTGGAACTCCCGGGAGGCGAAGTAGTAGACGAAGGGGTCCAGGCAGTTGTTCAGGCAACTGAGGCAGAGCGTGAGCTTGTAGACGTGGTAGTAGCTGCGGTGGAAGAAGAGGCGGCTGACCATGTGCACCAGCAGGACCAGGTTGCTGGGCGCGAAGCAGGTGACGAAGGCCAGCAGCACCACGACGGCCAGGCCCACGGCCCGTCTCCGCTGGCCCGGCCCGGCCCCGGCGGGCGCCCGCAGCAGCCGCCGGATGGTGGCCACGTAGCAGGCCACGGTGACCACGAAGGGCACCAGGAACAGCAGCACGAACAGCGTGAAGAGGAAGGCGGCCCAGCCGGCCAGCCCGGGCAGCATGCCCCAGGGGAGGACGTCGAAGCACGTGACGATGCCCAGCGGCCCGCACGGCGTAGGTCAGGTCGGCCCGGGCCAGCGGGGAGAGGGCGGCCAGCAGGAGCAGCCAGCAGAGCAGGCAGGCCAGGCAGGCGTAGCGGCGGCGGCGCCAGGGGGCCGAGGCCAGGGGGTGGACGACGCCCAGGAAGCGGTCGACGCTGATGCAGGTCATGGTGAGGATGGAGGAGTACATGTTGGCGTAGAAGGCCACGGTGACCACGTTGCACAGGGCCGGCCCGAACACCCAGTGGTGGCCGTTGCAGTGGTAGTAGATCTGGAAGGGCAGCACGCTGGCCAGCATCAGGTCCGTCAGGCTCAGGTTGATCATGAAGATGACCGACGGCGAGGACGGCCCGATGTCCCGGCACAGCACCCACAGGGCGAAGAGGTTCCCCGGCAGGCTCACGCCGGCCACCAGCGAGTAGACCACGGGCAGCGCCACGCCGATGGCCGGGTTCTGCAGCATCTGCAGCGTGGCGTTGTCGGGGGCCCGAGGCGTTGGGATCCATCCCGAGAGGGCGGGCGGGCGGATGGATGGATGGACGGCGGCACCTGCGGACAGACGGAGGGAGGGAGGGAAGGGGAGGGGAGGGTCAGCGGGGAGAAGGACGCGCAGGGACGGGCCACCGCGGGTGGACAAGTGTGTGAGCCCGCCCCGCTGCCCGCCCAGGTAACTGCCTCCGGGATGATGGGGCTCGGGTCTGGGGATTCTTTCTCTCTCTCTCTTTTTCTTTCTTTCTTTCTTTCTTTCTTTCTTTCTTTCTTTCTTTCTTTCTTCCTTCCTTCCTTTCTTTCTTTTTTCTCTTTCTTTTCTTCCTTCTTTCTTTCCTTCCTCTTTCTTTCTCTCTTCCTTCCTTTCTTTCTCTGCCTTTTTTTTCTCTATGTCTCTCTTTCTTTTCTTTCTCACTCTGTTCCTTCTCCTGCCACTCTCCATCCCTTCCTTCTTCCTTCCTTCCTTCCTTACTTCCGTACTTCCTCCCTTCTTTCCTTCCTTTCTTCCTCTCTCTCTTTCTTCCTTTCATTCTCTTTTCTTCCTTCCTTCTTTACTTCCTTCCTCTCTCTCTTTACTTCCTTCTTTCTTTTCTTCCTTTGTCAGTCTCTCTCTTTCTTTCTTCCCTTCGTTTCTCTGTCTCTTTCTTTCTTCCTTTCTTTCTCTTTTTCTTTCTTTCTTTATTTCTTTCCTTCCTTCCTTTCTTCCTTCTTTCCCATCTTCGTCTCTCCTTCCTTCCTTCTTTCCTTCCTTTCTCTCTCTTTCTTTCTCTTTCCTTCCTTCTTTCTTTCTTTCAGTCCTTTCTGTTTCTCTTTCTTTCTTTCCTTCCTTTCTCTGTCTCTCTCTTTTGAACTTTCTTTCATTCTTCCCTTTCTTTGTTCCTCTCTTTCCCTCTTTCTTTCTTTCCTTCCTTTCTTCCTTTTCTCCGTCCTTCCTCTCTCTCTTTCTCTCTCTCCCCTTCCTTTGTTTTTTATTTCCTTCCTTCCTCTCTCTTTTTCTTTCTCACTATTTTTTTCCTTCCTTCCTTTCTTTCTCTGTCTCTTTCTTTTTTCTCTTCCTTCCTTCCTCTCTCATTCTCACTCTTTCTTTCCTTCCTTCTTTCCTTCCTCTCTTTCTCTTCCTTTCTTTCTTTCTTTCTTTCTTTCTTTTTTCTTTCTTTCTTTCCTTCCTTCCTTCCTTCCTTCTTTCCTTCCTCTCTTTCTCCTTCTTTCTTTCCTTCCTTCCTTCTTTTTTCCTTTCTTCCTCCCTTCCCCTCTCTCTTTCTCTTTTCTTCCTTCTTTCTTTCCTTCCTCTCTTTCTTTCTTTCTTTCTTTGTCTTACTTCCTTTCTTTCTCTAGGTCTCTTTCTTTCCTTTTTTCCTCTCTCTCTTCCTTTTCCTCCCTCCCACTCTCCATCCATTCTTCCTTCCTCTCTCTTTCTTGCTGTCTCTTTCTGTCTTTCTTTCATTCTCTCTCTTTTCTTCTTTGTTTCCTTCCTCTTGCTTTCTTCATTTCTTTATTTCTCTTAGTTCCTTTCTTTCTCTAGGTCTCTCTTTCTCTTTCTTTTCTTTCTCACTCTCTTCCTTTTCCTCCCTCCCACTCTCCTTCCTTCCTTCCTTCCTTCCTCTCTCTTGCTATCTCTTTCTCTCTCTTTCTTTGTCTTGGGGTACTCAGGGCTTACTCCTGGCTCTGTGCTCAGCGATCACTCCTGGCAGGGCTGAGGGAAACCGCATGCGCTACCAGGAATCAAACCCACAGTGGCCGCGCGCAAGGCCAATGCCTTCCCCACTGGGCTCTGCATTGTATTTTTTCCCTTTTTCTCTTTATTTTGGGGGGCCACACCCGGCGATGCTCAGGGGTCCCCCCTGGCTTATGCACTCAGGAATCCCTCCTGGCAGTGCTCGGGGGACCCTAGGGGATGCCGGGACTCGAACCCGGGTCGGCCGCGTGCCAGGCCAATGCCCTCCCTGCTGGGCTATGGCTCCAGCCACACTTTTTTTCCCTCTTTTAAACTGTTGACAGTTCATGGGTGTCTGGCCTGCAGCTGACATTGGGGGACTCCGAGCCCTGCACCCCCCGAGTCCTGAGCACCCCTTGAAGCGAGCACCCCCTCCCCCCTTATCCTCTTGGCCTCCGGCCACGCCGTTTCGTGTAAACCTGCCCGTTGGCTTTGTGGTGAACGGTCTGCTGGGTTTTGCGGTTGAGATCGTATCGGTGCAGGGTAGAGGAGGAGCGGGGGGAGGGGGGAGGAGGAGGACGACGACGACGACGACGACGAAGACGAGGAGGATGAGGAGGAGGAGAAGGAGAAGGAGGAGAAGGAGGAGGAAGAATTGGAGGAGGAGGAGAACGAGAAGGAGGAGGTGCAGGAGAAGGAGGAGGAGGAGGAAGAGAAGGAGAAGTAAAAGAAAGAGGAGGAGGAGGAGAAGGAGGAGAAGGAGAAGAAGAAGAAGAAGAAGAAGAAGAAGAAGAAGAAGAAGAAGAAGAAGAAGAAGAAGAAGAAGAGTAGGAGGAGGAGGAGGAAGAGGAAGAGGAAGAGGAAGAGGAGGAAGGAGAAGGAGAAGGAAAAGAAGGAAAAGAAAGAGGAGGAGAAGGAGAAGAAGGAGAAGGAGAAGAAGAAGAATAAGGAGGAGCAGGAGGAGGAGGAGTAAGAGGAAGAGGAGGAAGGAGAAGGAGGAGAAGAAGAAGAAGAAGGAGAAGAAGAAGGAGGAGGAGGAGGAGAACGAGGAGGAGGAGCAGGAGAAGGAGAAGGAGGAGGAAGAGAAGGAGGAGAAGGAGAAGAAGGAAAAGAAAGAGGAGGAGGAGGAGAAGAAGAAGAAGAAGGACAAGGAGGAGGAGGAGGAGAAGAGGAGGAAGGAGGAGAAGAAGAAGAAGAAGAAGAAGAAGAAGAGGAAGAGGAAGAGGAGGAGGAGAAGGAGGAGGAGGAGGAGGAGGAGAAGAACAAGAAGAAGAAGCAGAAGCAGACAAAGAGGAAGAAGAAGAAGAAGAAGAAGAAGAAGAAGAAAAAGAAGAAGAAGGAGGAGGAGGAGGAGGAGGAGGAGAAGGAGAAGGAGAAGGAGAAGGAGAAGGAGAAGGAAGAAGGAAGAAAGAGAAGGAGAAGAAGAAGAAGAAGAAGAAGAAGAAGAAGAAGAAGAAGAAGAAGAAGAAGAAAAAGAAGAAGAAGGAGGAGGAGGAGGAGGAGGAGGAGAAGGAGAAGAAGAAGAAGAAGAAGAAGAAGAAGAAGAAGAAGAAGAAGAAGAAGAAGAAGAAGAAGAAGGAGGAGGAGGAGGAGGAGGAGGAGAAGGAGAAAGAGAAGAGGAGGAGAAGGAGGAGGAGGAGGAGGAGGAGGAGAAGAAGAAGAAGAAGAAGAAGAAGAAGAAGAAGAAGAAGAAGAAGAAGAAGAAGAAGAAGAAGAGGAAGAAGAAGAAGTAGAAGAAGGAGGAGGAGGAGGAGGAGAAGAAGGAGAAGAAAGAGGAGGAAGAGGAGGAAGGAGGAGGAGGAGGAAGAAGAAGAAGAAGAAGAAGAAGAAGAAGAAGAAGAAGAAGAAGAAGAAGAAGAAGAAGAAGAAGAAGAAGAAGAAGAAGAAGAAGAGGAGGAGGAGGAAGGAGGAGGAGGAGGTCTATGCTGAAACTGCCCCCGGAACAGAACCCCCCCCCCGCCCCCGGCCTGTGTGTGTTTCTCTGGGGCCTCAGCCGGGCCCCAGGGTGGGTCACGGGACCCCCCAGCCCCTCCCCCGCCCCATCCCGCCCCTGGGTGGCCCCTTCCAGCCTCGGTGCCTCCACGTCCCCGGGATCTCGCATCTCCCTCCCTTTGCTCCCTGCGGGGGTCCGAGTCGGCTCCCTGGGAACTCGTGGGGGAGGCGAGAAGGAGACCTGGGGGGTGGGGAGGTGGGACCCGGGGTACCCTCACTGCCTGGACACCCGGGGGCCGGCCAGTTGGGGCCGGAGCGACAGCCCAGCAGGGAGGGCGTTGGCCTGGCACGCGGCCGACCCGGGTTCGAGTCCCGGCATCCCCTAGGGTCCCCCGAGCACTGCCAGGGGTGATTCCTGAGTGCAGAGCCGAGAGGGACCCCTGAGCATTGCCAGGTGGGACCCCAAGAACCAAATAATGATATTGATAAAATAATAATAATAATAATAGCACCGTGTCACAGTCCTCCCGTTGTTCATCGATCGGCTCGAGCGGGCACCAGGCCCGTGTCCACGGTGAGACTCGTGGTGACTGTGTTTGGCATCGCATAGACGCCACAGGGAGCTGGCCAGGCTCTGCCGGGCGGGCAGGATCCTCTCAGGAGCTGGCCGGGCTCTCCAAGAGGGACGAAAGAATCGAACCCGGGTCGGCCGCGTGCCAGGCCGACGCCCTCCCCGCTGTGCGCCAGCCCATCGAGATCAAAATCAATGAATCTTTGCTGTTGATTGACATCCATATGATTAATGAGCATAGAATATGATTAATAGAATCAACACGATTGCAGTGAATACAATCTCGAGAAGGGCGGAGGACTCGAACCCGGGTCGGCCCCATGCCAGGCCGACGCCCTCCCGGCTGTGCTCCAGCCCGTCTAGATCAATACCAGTGAGTATTCGCTATTCATTAACGTTCAAATAATTAATTGGTGTATGATATGAATAACATAATCAACACAATTGTGATTATTACAACCTAGTTAACATTCATGTACAGAATAATTAACGCAATTGATCAATAATATCAATCCAGGTGATTAATATCATTAGAAATATCAAACTCGCACTGTAGCGTTGTCCTCCTGTTGTTCATCGGTTCACTCGAGCGGGCACCAGTCACGTCTCCGGGGT